ACAGAAGCTGCCCATTAACCCATAACCCGTTCACAGACGACGAGGTCAGAGACTTTCATTTTTTGCTGAAGGAGTTACTTTTCGAGCCCACTTCAGCTGTCTTCACACCTATCTGGAGTGGTGAATTTCAGCAAGGGAAATCTTCAACACCGCATCATTAGTACAGTCACTATTACAGTCATTAATACAGTACACGTGTGACAACCTCTTTTGACGGAGGTGACCTGTCAACTGGTGCTGAAAAGCTCAGTTTTTCACACAATCAACAGTTGACAAGCGAACGCAGTCCAGATTGCCGCTGGAGGTGCAATCAAAGAAATCATCCCTCGCTATTCACCTCGACATTGGCTCATCTTTTTCTATAAAGGTACGCCCGAAGTCATCGGGGTAGCTTCGATAGCATGAGTGACCGGAGGAAAAGGACGAGAGCAAACCACAGGCATAGATAGTAGTAGTGGTAGTAATAGTAGTAGTAGTAGTAGTAGTAGTAGAAGTAGTAGTAGTAGCAGCAGCAGTAGTAGTAGTAGTAGAAGCAGTAGTATTAGTGGTAGTAGGAGTAGTAGTAGTAGTAGCAGCAGTAGCAGTAGTAGGAGTAGTAGTGGTAGTAGTTAGTAGTAGTAGTAGTAGTAGTAGTAGTAGTAGTAGTTAGTAGTAGTAGTAGTAGCAGCAGTAGTAGTAGTAGTATTAGTAGTAGTAGTATTAGTAGTAGTAGTAGTAGTAGTAGTAGTAGTAGTGGTAGTAGTAGTAGTATTAGTAGTAGCAGTAGTAGTTAGTAGTAGTAGTAGTAGCAGCAGTAGTAGTAGTAGTATTAGTAGTAGTGGTAGTAGTAGTAGTATTAGTAGTAGTAGTAGTATTAGTAGTAGTAGTAGTAGTAGTGGTAATAGTAGTAGTATTAGTAGTAGTAGTAGCAGTAGTAGTAGTAGAAGTAGTAGTAGTAGTATAGTAGTAGTAGTAGTAGATTGTGTGCGTTACCTCTGCATACTTACATGCCTGTCTGTCTACGCCTGATTAACGGCAGTCAAAATCAGTAACAATGCTTTTCTCAGCGATAGTTCCCTGCCATATTTTTTGGATCTATAGTCAGGTAGGGAACGAAGAGCTGCATCTGTCTTCATGTTCCTTCAAAACCAACTCAGCCTTTCGATTAGTTTTAATTTTTACACCATACGACTTTCTCGCCGCACATCATAACCCCTCGCTTACATTCCACCTTCATCGATAACGCTCACACCAATGACCTACCCCAGTTTAATTGAGTCTCTTCGGAAAATTCGTTTAACCGTTATATTTCTGCCACCTTCAGATCGTTAACGAAGAGACGCATCATATTTTGGAAAAAAGCCATTTAGATTGCGTTCACAGTTGCCCGCTAGTGGACTGCCATTGACCCTTAGCGGCTGAAGTCCCCTAAGAACGTATGAATCAACTTTTGGCGTCGAACACCCTCAACATTCATGCCTATTTAATCTTAGGCGAGGACTAAATATGTAGTCCCGTTTGGAAAATAGAGTACACGGACCCCCCTTGTACGAGAAGGTGCTTTTGAAGATTTCGAACTGTGAAAAACTCGGCGACCTCGGTGGGATTCGAACCCGACGACAAGGGGAAGGCTTTAGTACAGTCAACACTCTAGCCACCTGAGCTATGAGGCCCTACCGCCCAGCCTACTGCAACATCTGAAAGCCACGAAATCTGCTACAGTAAGTTGAATGTCCAAGCAGGATTTCCTAAGTAATCCATCTAGAATCCACCAGATGATCACAAGGCCCACATAATTGATAGGTGCTTCGGCAGATGAACGTGGTAATTAGCAGAATCCACGGAAGGTATCGAGAGAACTCGCATTTCAACCACACTTTCATTTTATTACTCCAACGAGCTGCCGGAACTGATCGTGTAGTCTGAAGGGTGCGGATTAAGAGCGCATAAACGGGCAGGAAACAGGTTATCTAAGGGGCCGGACTGGGTAAAACGGTATGCGGCAGGCAGACTTAGTTCTAACCCTAACCTTTGACCAAGCATAGCTCTAATTGCAATCGTTTTCTCAAACTGGACCGCATTTGCAACCTTGATATAACACGCCTACGTACGTAAAATGAGCGGGTATGTTGCAGTAATAAAAAGCTAAAGCCACATAATCAGTCGTCGCCCAATATTCCACCGTCCAAGGGAAATTCCACAAGATCACACTACGTTCCAAGAAATCGCGCACTCGGTCCCTTGTGGGATTTGCAGGCGGCATATTTCGAAAGTGCTATTCTCCACACAGCTCTTGTTGTCGTCGGATGAGTAGTTGTCCCTCTCGAGGTAATAGGCTGCGGGAGCGTCCGGCCGGAGCGCGCGGACTCTAGATGCTCTGTCGCGGAAAGACTTGCTTAGGCCGTGGCTCTCGAGACATTGGCTATTTTGAGCGGCCTAGTGGAGGGGCGATTTCATCCGGCACCCGGACTCGAAGTTAGATACATCCGCCCACCACTCCAGCACACTGTTTGAAGGATTGCGCCGAAAAACTGCGAACAAAGCATTGTTCGGTGGCGGGCAACACCCGTAATGTGGTAACTTGATTTTTATGACCGTTTTATGGACAACGGACTAGTGCCCATTCGTGCCCGAAAGTATTGCCATTATCCTCTACTCGTAAACGTGATGAATAGCTTGAGATCGGCCAACAGCCACACCCCCTGTTTCCTTGGTCCCATTCTTTCCTTTATGGACGTAGCTGACGCCTGAAAACACATAACCCCAGATGGCAAGGCCCACCCACGGCGCACGGATGAAAGTCAAGTACTGCAATATTCTTCGTCTCAGCCTGACCGAAGTAAGGCAAACAGGAGCCAAGAGACTGTGTTTGGTTCTGCCTGGTCACCGAAGGAAACATTCTCCAACCAAACATGCTCTCAAGCACCCCTTTTTGCCCGGCGGTCAACGACACCTTAGTGCCTCTTGTTCTTAGAATATCATCTCCATCCTAACGATCGTTTTTAACTTTGGTGCACAAAACCGGTGAGACAGCCTGTCGCCTAATCTACGGAGCCCTGATGGCCATCTTGATACACCACTTCTAACTCGTGTTTAAAGGGATGGTGCGACGACAAAGCCAATCCGAGTTCTCGAATATACGCCCGATCCCGTTGCGCTGCGTGAATTTAGCGGGCGCTTTCTTTCTCTGTTTTAATTCGGATCGCCGATATTTCTTATGAATCAAAAATTACTTCTTCCACAGGAAATCCTTCTTTTCGAGAACGCAGCGGCTTGCGAGGCGGCAAGACAGTTAACCGCACCGAACCGTACGCCCTACCGACTGTTGGGAAATCCTCGCAGCCAACCACTGCTAAGTTTCCTTGTTGCTAACGGCTTTCGGAACATACAAACTGTGGTACAGCAGTTGAAACGAGCCTACACCAAGGCCCTTTCGTCATCCAATCCGCTTCCCAGCCCGCGACCCTTCGACTACATCGAGATCATGGCCTGCCCGGGAGGTAAGTTTCACCACTGCATATTTGCGCGCAGGACTTAGACACCCTTAGATTTTCACTATTGAAAGGTATGCCTAGAGACAACCGGCGACGCCATATAAAATGTATTCCGCCTCGTGGCGGGTTGGCTGGCCGGAGATTATCTACCCGGAGTAGTACCTGTCCTCAAAATCGCATTGTATGCTTGTCTTCTACCATTGTGCCTTGATGACTGACCCACTTGGGGGTGTATTGGGGACCGAATCTGGTGGAAGCGGCCCCGAACATACGATCGAATCCGCGCAGGCCAGTTGTGTGGATATGGTGAACGGGCCCAGTGACGCACGCTGAGACGCTACGTCTTCCAGCTGCCACCTTAACCCGGCAGACATGCTTCAAGGCTGTTCTGAAGTTAGCTCATAACCCGAAGTAAATCAAGCCGCTTCCTCCCGCCGGTTAAAAGCTCGTAAAAAAGATAATCACAACAGTGACCATAGAACGTCCGAATAGATGTCCCATGCCCAAGCCGCCTGGCATGCGCGCTTAGTTCAGGTTACTGGAGGCCCTAAAAGGCATCCCTGTATCCATGTCACGTCGTGGTCGGCGACCCTACTGGCGATCAATGGGCCATTTCTCCCCGCTCTCGCCGTGTGCACAGCGGACTCTAGGTTTCTGTGGCCCTGCTTCCTCGGTCTGGACACTGTCTGCAAGCATGTCAGGTTGCAGTGCTATCAGGCAGATCGGACAGATGAGCATAGCAGGATTAAGCGGAAATGCCCGTTTGTATATTCCGGTACGCAGTGTTCGGCGCACATTGCAAAGCATGAAACACAACAGGAGTCAGTGGCCGGCTCAAATTAATAACACACCGCCTTGGTGTTTACTCGTCTATATGAATGTTGACTAAAACCAGCTAACTCGGCCGTCTATTCACAATTCTGGTCGATTTTTGCACTAAATGCTTTAATAATGGAGAGCCGGCCAAGCTCCGAAACGTCAGCAGCACAATTCCCTTGATCCGGTGAGCACTTCATTTTTCTCAAACTTCCTATACACCGATAACCGGAGTTTTCATGCTGCCTCCTTGCCTTTATGGACAACAGCTTACATCCGAAGCGCTGGACTTCGGACTTAAAGTCTGATGGCTGTCAGGCTGGTTTTCCTAAAGGGTTCTTATTTTCTTCTTTTTTTATCATCCGTTCTCTTTTGCAGGATGCCTTAACGGGGGTGCCCAGATTAGAAACAATGACGCATCCAAAGTTTCGTCCGCGTACTTCACCCTCGAAGAGGAGCAGATCATGGTCAGTGGACCCTCTCAAAGACTACTTACGGCAATGGAGGACAAATGCACATCTAACGGCTATTTTACTACCTTTCGGACTACTCCCAGAATTGAGATTATCAACCCCTCCGCGCTAAAATGGTGAACAGCCAACCCAGGGATGAGAGTTGATTTTGTATTTTTTTTAATATCAAAAGTCAGTTTAAATGACAGTCGGTTCTACTTAAAATGAAAAATATAAAGCCATGGTAAACACTAGCACCCTAAAGGCGAAGCCACCATGTCTGGTCCCTGATTCTGTTGTAGTCTGGAAGCGTCTCAATTGGACCTGAAAAAGAAGCCTTTAATTAAACCAGGTGTCTGTTCGTTATTCACTCAAAAACAGCACAGCCGTAACTATTATGAACGCCAAGTCACAGCAATGATGACCTGTGGGCGCGGCTGAATATCCATCAACAAGCACTAAACGGCCTTCACTTCAAAAATACGTTTTGTGAAGTGGCCAGCAAACATTTCCTGTGGTGCTGAAGCAGGCACAACTGATGAGACAAAAAGAAATTATGACAGCTTCCCGCTCGGCATTTCTTCGAGTCTGGTAGGTGGACGCTCAAAGGGAGTTAAGGAACAAGCGTTATATAAGGCAACTTTTGTAAATGACTTGAACGAGGCCATGGCCTCTACAGCTACACTTCCATAAGACCCAAAAGTATGCTGGCACTTGGTATGGTATATGAAAAACAGCCTCAGACAAGACGGGGGGCGTCTCCATGATTTCAGTGAAGGCCACAAACTGGATTGCATACTAAATTTTGACGACGAATGTTGTGAGGGTAACTTGAGTCAGATACAAAGTAAAAGTAAACTGTCTACTGATATGAACTGCGAGAAGACCTTACCGATAGAAGCAACTGCTGGACATCGGTCGAAGAAGTAATTGGAGCATACCTCCCTGAGTTTTTCAGCCGTTATAGCCTTAAAATAAGGAATACAAACATGGGGTGTGAGGATGATAACTGGAGACTCGGCTCGGGTCGGTTTCAAAGAAAGGTGCTTGAGTGTGCCAAATAAATAAACGGCCAAGATCTCTGTTTGTGTTGCCCTGGCGGAATCCTAAGCCTGCGCGGGTAAACTTAAAGAGTATCGGTGAATAATTGAGGAAATGGCGTAGTCTATAGCTGCAGCTATAAACGATGTGTCGGCAGCGGGGTGTGCCATGCATTGGGCTGGGAAGATAGTCCCCTCGACCTACGGGCGACCACCGACGCAGTTGCCTCTGCTAATAGGAGCGAAGGGACGAGTTCCAGGAAGTAGTCGCAGTGGCACGATCGATGGAACAAGCGTTTTATTAGCCTGACGTTCCTGATTCTCATTAGAATCCATCATCAGAGGCAGAGCTAGATAAGGGTAGTGGATTGCCCAGGTGTCTCTTTCGATAAGTGCACGGAACTCGTCAAAATTAGAAAAAACACTACGGAGCGTCCGCACTTGGGACTTCTTACAGTCATCAGGGCTAACTGGGATGTGCCCACATGCTTTTTCTACTTTTATCACATACTACACTTCCGGGGGACCATTCCATAATTATCCAGACGAAGGATAGCAAGGAAATAAACGTGTTATTGGCTGGTAGCGTTCTTTTTATGGCCACGAAAATGTAAATGCAACTGGTGCTTGCTACTACTTAGATGCCTCCCTGTGCCTCCTCAGTTCGTAGAACCCCTAAAGACCGTTTGAGGAGCCTTATTGTATAACAGTCACTCTCTACACCAGCGCTTAAATGGCACATTGCGGACTGGGCTGCCTTTATGACAAGGCAGGTTGGAGGAGCCTCCGGTAGTGTACGTTAGCCCTGATATGGCAGAAAATAGGTATGGTTGAGTCACCCTTCCGACAAAAAAATTATGAAAGAGCAGTGTGCAAGCACACGGACGTACATCAATACGAGCCAGCATCTCGTCAATCGGCACTCGCCTCCCGTAGACAAGCATTTGTCGGCCGATCTCCTCACATATCGGCGTTGTTCCATCAAGTTGAAGCAACAAGTGTGTCTTGAGTTGATTCTTAGCACGCGCAACCTCATGCTCCTTAATTTGAGAGCACATTCTAACCCACTCCTTTGTAAAAGATCCTACGGCCTCGTTTAGGCCCATCTTTTCCGACGTGAAGTAAACTCCCCTAGACGTAAGGTATTGTGTAAATGAAGGAAAGACAAGCACACATTAAGAACTATGAAACGCATTAATAAATTTACCAGAGCGAAGTGTCGTTGTAACAAGTGAAGAAGTGTTGGAAGCTATGGACAGAGCCCTGATTGAAAAACTTGCTGGCCAGCTGACTTGCGACGTTGGATCCACCACCATGCGTACGGTCCCAAGCGCCATGTACACTGCTGCCGACCATGAGTGCCAATGTATCAGGGCTAGCCCAACCGGGACCTTCTACGGCTAACGCAACGTGCGCAAGCGGCATTGCATCATCACGGTCTCGGATCTCCGATCCTGTAAATCGACATTCTGAAAGATCAGGGGTGCCTTCGCCAGCTTCATTTGTTGCGGATATATCACCGAAGTATTTCTGACCCAAGTCCCTGAGTTCGGAGTGGTCAACGCCTACGCAAATACTGTAGGTAAATAAAAACTACCTCCAGCGGCAGTTAACACCATCCGCGGTGCCTTATAATTCGATTTAATAAACGACCGAAGGTCATTTGGCGTAAGAGACTTGACGTTTTCGGCAGGCCCCAAAATTGTGCGGCCCAATGGAGTGCCCTGATAAGCCGTCGCATGCAAGTAATCGAACACGACTTCTTGGTAGTTGCTTTCAACTTCCTACTAAAGTAAACATGCGAGTGTGAAATTTACCTCCATCTCTCTCAGAATGACACTTCGTTCTCGATCAACCTGCCGTTGGTCTAACTTGCTATTTTTAATTATATCCGACAAGAGCTCCACAGCTACAAATTCGTAGAGAATTGTGTAAGGTACCCCAAGGCAAGTCTTTGGAGAAGCACTTTGCGTAATAGACCGTCATTTCTCTCGAAGTATAGGCATTTAAATGAGCTCCTTTGTCTTCCACTTCGGCTTCCAAAAATTGCTGAGTCCTCTTGTCAGTACCCTTGAAAGCCATGTGCTCCAGAAAATGGGCAACACCGTTATTTGCCTCGGTTTCATAACGGCTTCCAACGTCTATCCACAGACCAACCTGAATTATAAGCTGCATCGAATGAAATTACCGTGCACGTAGGCATTTTCCAGTTTTCTGAGGCAATGCGGAACCCATTTCCTAAGGTACTAACTTCGGTCTTGGGAAGATGGGCTGACTCGATGAGGGGAACATAGTTTGTCGCTGTCCCAATGCTAAACCTTCGAAAATTCTACAAACATGGAGTTCAAAAAACTGTGGAAATGCAGAACCTTGGAGTACAGAGGCAAGGCCGAGACGATACGTCGAGCAGCCATCTAAGTCTTCAAAAAAGGCGGGCGGAAAAGGTCGAAAATGAGATCAGCTGAGAGTTCAAGGGCTCAGTGTCGTTCGAGACTATAGACTGATTCGACTATTCTATTTTCTTTGAAAAGTGCATAAAATTTTACTGAATTAGCTACACTAGTCAAATTTCAAAGTAAAACTGGAAGATTGACCTCAGAAACGTGGCAGAGAAAGCTGTTTCTAGGCGGAGTTGACGGCTGCAGACAAATAAACCGAGAATCAAGTGCTCAGCAGTAACTCGCGGAATGGAAACCAAAGTACCACAACAGTAAAAGCAAGAAAAATGACTTGTTTTGTTTAACTGGATCATCTGGTCAAACTCGGATAAAGGGGCCACTGCGCTGGCTGTGAGTTCGTTCATTTTTCATTTCTTGGCACAATACTACGTCAATACGTATTGTTGGTGTGGCCAGGTGTGGCCAAGCTCGGCCATGGCCACGCCAAATTTGAAGAAATTTCGGAGGACCTCCCA